TCCTCCTCCTCCTCCTCCTCCTCCTCCTCCTCCTTCTCCTCCTCCTCCTCTCCGTGGGTGTGGAACCTTCTGCCCAGCTCCTTTGGGCTTGTGCCCAGCCTCGCTGTTGCACAGCCTGGGCTCCTCGACAGCGGCCGCCGGGGCCTCCCCGCGGAGGCTGAGCCGCTCCGGGCCGCCCTCGCCGCGGCCGAAGCAGCGGGCCTTCCGCCCGAGGAGACGCAGGACGTGCTGGCTTGGGGTCGAAGAAGAAGAAGAAGCACCACGGGAAGTTCCAGGTCCCGGACATCTGGTGTCTCGAGAGAATCGGCACGGAGGTTTTTCATATTTTTCGGTCTCTCGGGGCCCTTACTGGACCTCGGGACCAACAAAAAACGACTCGGGATAAAAAGCCAGTCCCAGGGAAGTGGTCGAGAGGTCGGGGGCACGTGTCTCGACAAAATCGGGACGCCGGATGTCGGGGGATTGACCCGGAAAAGTCACCGTGGGGGGGTCCAGATTGGAGCTTTTCGGGCGTTTTCGTCGGCCCTCGGCGGTGTTCAGCTTCGGGATGCTGTCCAGCAGCTGCGCCTCGCCAAAGGCGTCCCGCGGGTGCCCGGCTCGTCCCGAACGGCCGCCGGAGACCCGAGCTATGACCCCAGGACCCGAAAAAACGGTCCTGGGGAAGGGGTCTGTTCTGTGAGTCGACGTCGTGAAGGTGCCACGGCGTCGGCGTTCTCAGGGGAGAGACAGAGGGGCAAAGCGCTGCGCAAAAGCAGAGCTCTCGGAGGGTCAGCGCGGATTCCCTGGACCGGCGCTGGGCGCCGCTGCCTGGCGCGCGAAGCGCGCCAGGGGCGCCGCCAGCCTCGATCTCCAAGAAGTCCGCGCGGCCCGCCCAAAGTGTTCGGGGGTGGACAGACCTCCTGCCCTGACACGTCGAGTGAGGAATTGGCCGTTTTCGGTTCGCGAGAGGGCGTCGCGGCCGTCGTTTTTGCGGGTCCAGGTCCGTCGGTTTCGGTCCCAGGCCGTTTTCACTAGGGGGAGGTTTACTAAAGCGAGGTTTGTCCACCGCCGAAGTGTGAACTTGTTGGTTCCTCGGCGGGGTGGAGCCTGCATGAGCCTCCGTGCTTCAAGAAGGCGTGCTGGCGCCATTGGCGAGGGGCCCTCGCGGCGGCTGGGTTCGGCCCGAGATGTCTGTATGGACGGTTTCTGCGGGGGGGACGCTGCTTATTCTGATCTCTGGATCCGACAACCAGCAACGCACCCCTGGGAAAGCGAGCTTCCAGTGAGCCACAGTCTGTTCGAGTCTTCGTTGCAGCATCTGCCAAAAGGAGAAGTCCCGGGTAGACATGTAGCGAGTTTACAAGGTGTTGTTGGTGCCCTCCAAGTCGCATGCCCTCCAGACATGTTCGTCCTCAGAGGCAGGAGCTGGAAGCCGCGAGCGATGGGAGGAGCGCTCTGTGATGTCCTGAGAGCCCAGTGCACCTCTTCTCCTGCGAAGACAACTCGGATAGATGGCCGCTCGGGCCGGCTCATCTAGCCGCAGCCAAGCCGCATGCGAGCTGCCCAAGCTTTTGATGTGCACGCAGGCTGCCCCCAAAAAACACTCTTTTTAGGGCCGCGGTGTGCTCCCAGACGCGAGATTGGATGTCGACCTCGGCTCGCGCCTTCCCAGGCGTCTGCTTAGCGCCACCTGGACGGCGCCGCTGGCAGAGAAGACGACCTCGAGGTAGACGATAGACTCCTGATGCAGTGTCAAGGCATCTACGGGCCTGCGGATGGCGGCGTCGCAGCCTACCATAAGTTAAGTGGTCAGATTTTCGAGGTCGTTCAGAGCTCGGATTTTCGAGGTCGCTTGCTTCTCGGATGTTCGAGGTCGTTTAGAGCTCAGATGTTGCAGGTCGCACAATATTAAGATCTTCGCCCCATGCAAAACTCGGATGAGGAGCGAGGAGAAAGAAGATGGAGGAGCGTGAGGCAGAGAAGGAGCAGGAGGAGGAGTAGTAGGAGGGGGCTAACATTCCGCGCCCCACACGAGGCGCTCCAGGGAGGGCCCCGCCTTCGAGGACCGAAGGAGGGCGGCGGAAGCCCGCGGAAGGTGAGCGGCGGCAGCTCCGCCGGCGGAGGGCGGCGGCAGGTCGGCGGCAGCCCTCGGAAGGCAAGCGGCGGCAGCTCCGCCGGCGGAGGCCGGCGGAGGGAAGAAATGCACCCCCTCCTCCTCCTCCTCCTCCTCCTCCTACGCCTCCTCTCTCCTCCTCCTCCTCCTCCCTCCACTTCCTCTTCTCCTCCATCTCCAATTCCACCTCCTCATCTTCCTCCTCTCCTCCTCCTCCTCCCTCCTCCTCCTCCTCCTCCTCCTCCTCCTCCTCCTCTCCTCCTCCTCCTCCTCCTCCTCCTAGTTCTCCTCCTGCGCGACCCCCCCCCCCCAGCGGCGCGCAGGAGATGGCAACAGTTTTGGGTGCAGGGCTTCTGGAACCCAGCATGTGTTCCTACAGGGGGGGCTCATGCCAAGAAACACCCTGCTTGCCTCCAGGTTGCCCTGGGTTTCTTGGGGGTTCGATGGTTCTGCCATGGGAAGCGTGACGTCCCCACACCAGAAATCGATGGACGTGCGGGGGTCTCAGGGTTTGGATTCTTGTGGAAGGTTTCTTGTGGTCAGGCCCCTACTGTGCGCGGCTTCGGGCTGGAAGCGTCGTCCGCGTACACCACTTCGCCGATTTCGCCCCACTCGTCGCGTCGTGCAACATCACAGCCATGGCTTGGGAGAACGGGCAGTTGGCAGATGCCGTGGACGATACTGCCCAACGCCCCGCGAGCATCCCATCCAGCATCACGTGGGTGAAGGCGCTGGCCCACTCGAGAGCAAGGAGCGCTAACCGGAGCCCCTCGCAAACGAGGGCAGCCGCGAGGTGCCACCAGCGCCCTGAGAAAAAAACAACAACAACAACAAAACAAAAAAAAAAAAAAAAAAAATCTAGGCGAATCTGGAAAAAGCCCTCACCGTCGTCCTCGTGGTTGGTGAGGCGTCCTGGCTGTCTCTTCTGCGTATATTTCTTCTCGCCCTGGCGCGGGCCCTCCCCCCGCTCCCTACGTTGCCCCCGACCTCGCCCTCCTGTTTTGGCTCGGGACATTCAGAAAGTGGCCCGGGAGTGGTGTTCTGGGAACACGAAGAACACGAAGTGGCCTACAGTTAGTTCCTGGCATTCAAAAGTGTGGCCCGGGAATGATGTACTGGGAGCACGAAGAAAACGAAGTGGCCTACAGTTGGCTCCGGGCATTCAAAATGTGGCCTGGGAATGGCGTTCTGGCAGCGCGAGAGCCCAAAAGTGGCGACAGTTACAGGAATTGGATGACCCGTTCGGATTAGTAACATGATCCGCGGGCCCCACAGGGAGGAGGCTCCCGCTTAAGACTTCCTCGCAATTCACTCACAAATGCGGCCTGGGAATAGCGTTCTGGCAGCGCGAGAGCCCAAAAGTGGCGACAGCTACAGGAATTGGATGACCCGTTCGGATTAGTAACATGATCCGCGGGCCCCATAGGGAGAGGGCTCCCGCTTGAGACTTCCTCGCAATTCACTCACAGATGTGGCCTGGGAATGGCGTTCTGGCAACGCGAGAGCCCACAAGTGGCGACAGTTACAGGAATTGGATGACCCGCTCGGATTAGTAACATGATCCGCGGGCCCCATAGGGATGGGGCTCCCGCTTGAGACTTCCCCGCAATTCATACACACGAGGCCCAAGGCGAGTGAGCGAGTGAGTGAGTGAGTGACTGACTGACTGGTGATGATGATGATCATCACACTCGCTCACGCGCACACTCATCATCATCATCATCATCATCATCATCATCATCATCATCATCATCATCATCATCATCATCATATGTGAGTGCTGATGAGTCAGTGAGTGAGTGAGTGAGTGAGTGAGTGAGTGAGTGAGTGAGTGAGTGAGTGAGTGAGTGATTGCGTGAGGGATGATGAGTGAGTGAGTGAGGAATGAGTGATGACGATGGTGGTGGGTTCCTGTTCCTGCGCGGGGTGTCCAGAGAAAACAAGAACCCCACTTTGGATGTGGGGAGGAGAAAAAATTTGAATAAAACACACACACACACACAAAAAAAAAAAAAAAAAAAAAAAAAACGCACCGGCGCCCTTCGAGCACATCGTGGTCGCGGCGTATGTTTCGCAAGCGGCCTGCAGGGCGCTGATCGGGTGGCACCTCTCGCACCCGGAGGCGTCGTCGTTGCGGCCGAGCGCAAGCGACTGAACGATCGTGCCAGGCGTCGTCTCGGGCAGCCCTTCTTCGCCGAAGAATCTCATCTGCACGAGCGCTGACTCTTCCGAAGTCCGCGCGGAGTTCTTGGACCAGCGCTGGGCCCCTCTGGCGACACAGGATCGGTGAAAGCGGGGAACGTAGCACTCCTGCCAGAGGCTCAGCCTCTGGGAGGCCAGCCGGGACGTTGGCTGCGCCCCCCTGGAGAGCTCTCGGCGAGGCGTGGGTGTCAGTCAGGGCAGGTCCAGAGGCTTACCCCGGAATTACCTCTCGGCTTTCAGGCGGCCCGCATCCAAAGGGTCACCCTTGGACTGTCTCGTGTGCTCGCATGCCCTGAAGGGACACGACGGCGGCCAGAGGAGGAGCAGAACCAACCGCATCAGCAGGGGGCGGCGGAGGCGGGGGCGGAGGAGGAGGAGGAGGAGGAGCAGCAGCAGCAGCAGGCTGCAGTCAGAGAATGGGAAGGAGAAGACTACGAAAAGGGGGAGGACATGGAAGAGCTGAAAGGGGTGAAAGAGTTGCAGGGGATGGGAAGCGAGGAGGCGGAGACGGGGGAAGGAAGAGGAGGAGCAGCAGCAGGAGTCAGAGGGGAAGGGCGACGAGATCTGGATGATGCGATACTTCTGGGGGCCGCAGGCAGTTCGCGAAGCCCTGCCAGCAGTTGAGCGCCGCGCTACAGCGCGCGCCGCGCTGGCCGCAGCATGCAGGGGGCATCACCTCGTAGGTCCAGATCTGCTCGAGGCCGGTTCTTCCCTTCCTTGGCAGAAGGGCCTTCCGCTTCTTTCGATAGCACGCGGCACTTGGATAGGCGGCAAGGTGAGCAGATTCGAGATAGGAGGATGGGGGGTGTGCACCCATGTCCAAGAAAGCGACAGCCGGGCGATCGGGCGCGTAGTTGATTTTATTAAAGACCATATCGCAAAGGCCATATCCCACCATGTGCTCTCGTAACGTGCCGATGGGTTTGCGGATCCCGATGGTCGTGCACGGCCATCTGCAGCATGTTCTGCATATACAGGGTCACGATTGTTGCCATTTTGGCTATTCGATCCCATCGTTACCATCGTCCCGCTTGGATGTTCGATGAAAATGTGCCTCAGGCAGCGACGACGCTTCGTACTCGAGCGAGAATCGAGCTTTGCACTTAGCCCTAAATTCTGCGCCGCGGCATGTCCATTTCCAATTTCTGTTGTCGCAGAGGTCTGAATTCAACAGCTCATATCCATGTTACATGTCTTTTCGTAGGAAGGTGATACTACGGTGCTGTGTACACTATGCGACAAGTCTCCCTTGTTCCAATTGGATGTGGGTGGCAGCGTCTTTGCCACATGGGGCCGTGCGTAAATGTCGCCCCCCTTTCTCCCCTCCATCGGTTGCGCGATGCCCTGTCCGCCCTCCCCTCCAGTGGCTTGGCCTATCGACTCTGCGATGCCATTCACCCCACACGTACAGTGCCGTTTTTAATACATGCTCCACGAGCGGATCATGTATTGAAGATGCATGGATTTAGCATTAAAAACAACGACGAGTTCATGCATAAATTCATTCATACATTAATCCTGCATTAAATCCCTATATGTTGAAAAAAACATGTCTTAAAAACTGATACTCCGGCAGGAACGGTCGATTGTCCGAAAATGCGTGGATACACAGTTCCATAGGATGTATATGATGCTTCATGGAGGCATCCGTGCCCCTCCCGCCTTCCGTATGGCCGCCTACCCTGGCAGGAATTGGACGCATACCCCAGCAGGAACGGTCGATTGTAAGAAAGTGCGTGGATACACGTTCCATACAGTCGGGCCGTTGAAGAAGGAACCCTTTTCGTTGGGGAGGTGCTCAGTGTTTCTTAATTGTTTAACAGTTTCGTCTTTGCTTTTCTGTGGGAAATCGAAGGTTAACTTATGGAAAAAACGGAGTTTCGTTCCTGATTTGGGGTTCTTCATGACAGCGTTTCGACTGTGGGATGTACCTGAGGCGTCCTGGATGACCCTCTGTCGTGAAGAAACGATACCGGTGCTCGCCGCCTTCGCCCATCCCCGGCCCCGACCCCCCTTTGAACATTCCACGAGAACGGGCGTGCCGCCCCGGCCGTCCTCCTCCTCCTCCTCCTCCTCTCCTCCTCGTCTTCTTCCTCCTGCTCCTCCTCCTCCTCTTCCTCCTCCTGCTCCTCCTCCTCTTCCTCCTCCTCTGCCTCCTCCTCCTCCTCCTCCTGCTCTTCCTCTTCCTCCTCCTCGTCCTCCTCCTCCTCCTCCTCTTCCTCCTCCTCCTCCCCCTCCTTTTCCTCCTCCTCCTCTTCCTCCTCCTCCTGCTCCTCCTCCTCCTCCTCTGCCTCCTCCTGCTCTTC